TCTCTCTCTCTCTCTCTCTCTCTCTCTCTCTCTCTCTCTCTCTCCTACCGAACTCGTACTCCGACAATGGGAATGCTGCGCACCTTCCTCGCTTCTGCCGGCAGATCCATCGTGGAAAGCGTCTTGTACGTGCTCGTTCGCGATACCATCGGCGGCGAGACACGCGAACTTAGATTGCTTCTTCGAAGCGGGTAGAAGCGAGAAGATAAAAATGAGAGACGAATGACTATCCTCTCTCTTTCCTTGTTTGGCATCAATTTGCGCGAGTAGTTCGTAAAATTAACAATAGATAAATACGGCGCTATTTTCATACAATTGAATTATCATTTTTCGCTTCTCGCTTACACCGCAAATCCAGTACGTAATTAGTGCTTTCATATATGTGTGTGTGTGTGTGTGTGTGTGTGTGTGTGTGTGTGTGTGTGTGTGTGTGTGTGTGTGTGATTTAATTTTCCTTGTAAAAGTAATACTATATTATACCATGTTTAAATGTATAAATTTAGTTTTGTATATGCAAAGAGAGTATAATGTGTTATTTTTTAACGAAGTCATATGCGAAGACATTTATCGCACACTTTGATTTGCAATGTAAATCACAAAGGTGATTATTGTTTCTGATAGAGAGTGATGTCTTATTTCCAGCTGCTTCTTGACGCGGTTAAACTCAATCACGTAGCGTTAAATTAAAAACGCGGAAACCGCGCAACAATCGTGTTAATTCCCTCGGGACACGCACTGAAAAAAAATTAAACCTTAATACATATTTTTTTTTTAATAGTACTAAGTAAATATTTACTTAATAAACAAATTATAGTTAAATTAATGGTTTTTGTATCAAATAAATATATGTTTGCGTTTAGCATAAATATTTACTTAGAACTATTTAAACATATATTTCTTAAAATTTAGTACTTTTTTTTTTAGTGTGGTAGTAACAATATTAGTAAGTTGCAAATTACAGAGAGCGGCAGATTACAGAATTACAGAGAGACAAAAATTGTTTATTTTCTTCTCACAGAGCTCTAAGAATATTTTTAGAATTTTTTAATACCGTATTTTCTCATGTTGATAAAAGAGAGAAAATGCAGTACTAAAAAGTTGATCGAAAATTCTGAAAAAATTCGTAGAGTTCTATGAGAAGAAAGTAAACAATTTTCATTTCTTGCAGTTTTTCTGTAAAGTTCATAGTATTTGAGTAAAAAATTATTGAAGACCGATTTTCAGCACAATTTTTAGCAATTAATATTTTGTTAACTATTGCGAAAATTGCAAAATGGCAAAGGACTTTCCGTCTCGGTTTAGTCCGCTCTACACGTCCACGAACTCCGTCAGAACAATTATCAGACACCCTGTATATACGTATGTGTGATATCAATGAATACAGCTGGCGACTAAATTATCCGGGGATAAGTAATTACGGTCGTAAATGCGATTCAGCGGCGGAAGGGTAAACGTTTCAGAACGACACGTGAATTTATGGCGCCATTCGCGCGCGGCGCGGCGCGACACACGTGCGCGGCGCGATGCGGCGCCATGCCGGGGCCGTGGTCTATGCGAAATTTCCACGAGTGCGGAAACGGAACGAGCGGGGAGGGGCGAGGGGGGGGGAGTTGTCCTCTGACACGCTCTCTCGGCGTGTCCGACGACGCGATGATTCACGCTGCCGCGTCGCGTTGCTTTTCCCCGGGTGATGTATCGCGGCGACGTTGACATCAGGTTGGGAAAACATTCACATCCCGCAGAATTCTAATCCTTTGATCGTCGACGAATTCTCGGCACGGCCAGAGATAATTCCCGACGCGCCGCCCGTTGTCCTCTGGATTCGACATTCGAGTATATAACGGGGGATTTTAGTAGTCCGCCACTACCACCGC